GGAAATGGGTCAAAACTGACCAGTCGTATTTCCCTATATAATCTTTGTATTTTATGGGGAAAACAAAGGGTCATTTCAAAACGGATTTTATGGCACTTACCCTCTTTACATCTGGCTCAGTTTTGGCATGCTTATAGGTAAATGGCTTGACCTTTAGGGAAAACTGTCGGTTACACTCAAAGCCCTCGACGAGGGCTAAAAAATGACCGCGAGTGAAATTCTCTTTATATGAGCTCTATTACGAAAAAAAAATTCCTCCGACGACCCCCCTTGAAATTTTGTGAGGTGGTAGGAGAACACCTTGGGGTGTCACAAAAAACTCGGCATATCTGGGAAAACTTCGTAAAGGGGTCAAAACTGACCAGTTGTATTTCCCTATATAATCTTTGTATTTTATGGGAAAAACAGAGGGTCATTTCAACGCAGACTTTAGGATACTTAAGCTCAGTATATCTGGCTAATTTTTTGCATGCTCTTAGGTCAATGGCTTGACCTTTAGGGAAAACTGTCGGTTACACTCAAAGCCCTCGACGAGGGCTAAAATGTGACCGCGAGTGAAATTCTCTTTATATGAGATCTATTACGAAAAAAAAATTCCTCCGACTACCCCCCTTGAAATTTTGTGAGGTGGTAGGAGAACACCTTGGGGTGTCACAAAAAACTCGGCATATCTGGGAAAACTTCGTAAAGGGGTCAAAACTGACCAGTTGTATTTCCCTATATAATCTTTCTATTTTATGGGGAAAACAGAGGGTCATTTCCAAACGGATTTTAGGGCACTTACCCTCTTTACATCTGGCTAAGTTTTGGCATGCTCCTAGGTCAATGGCTTGGTCGTAGGGCAGACCTGTCGGTTACACTCAAAGCCCTCGACGAGGGCTAAAAAGTGACCGCGAGTGAAATTCTCTTTATATGAGCTCTATTACGAAAAAAAATTTCCTCCGACGACACCCCTTGATATTTTGTGAGGTGGTAGGAGAACGCCTTGGGGTGTCACAAAAAACTGGCCATGTCCGGGAAAAATCGGGAAACGGGTCAAAACTGACCAGTTGTATTTCCCTATATAATCTTTGTATTTTATGGGGAAAACTGGGTAATTTCTACACAAATTTTAGGGTACCTCTTCTTTGTATAACTGGCTAATGTTTTGCATACACCTCTATAAATAGATGGGCCGTATGGAAAACCTGTTGGTCAGCATTAAAGCCCTCGAAGAGGGCTAAAAATGACTGCGAGTGAAATTCTCATTATAAGAAATTTGGTCAATTGGTCTATGAGCAGGGGAGGTAACTTTTTAATGTAACAATTTTTTAATATTTTGTATACTCTTTTTAAGAAAAAACAAAAATCATAAAGTATAGCATTGTTTTAAATGGATATTGTGTTATAAATTAAGTTTTGTATTGTATTGAAATTGTAAAATTAATTGCAAAAGTAATTTAATATAATATTTGATCGATAATTTTTATGAAAGCCCTTTCAGTTCTAATAACCTTGCGAGTAATAAGTTTGCGAATATTCCATCATTTTATGGGCACAATAAAAGTACCCGACTGTATAAATTTAGGCCCTAAGCATTTAACATAACAGCCAATCACCTATAAATTAATCATTCAATTTCTCAACTTTTTTGAAAACCTAAGCGAAGCTAGGCAGTATGCCTAGTCCTAATATATAAACGACCATGTGCGCACTTCTCTCTCTCTCTGTCCGCAAAATATTTTCGCAGGATATAACATCAGAATCTTCAGCGATATATTTAGAACTTGATACGGACTTTTGCTGAAAACAATATGGTAGATGTTTTAAATGTATAAAAAAAAATTTATTTAAAGAAGAAAAATAAAAAAATAAAGGAATATTCGAATGTAGAAAAACAGTTTTAATTATGCAACAGGAAAAGTGTTTATAGTTGGGACAAGAACACCGAAATCGATGACGTCACATGTCATATGTTTGAAGTACGGAAAGTACACAAAACCAATGGCGTCATCTTCCGATTTTAGAATAAGAAGAAATAAAATATTTCATTAAAATTTGATTTAGATCTATAGATTTACTTATCGAGACGTAATTTATGAAATTTATACAATTTCCTCGGCCAAAACTAATACAAACTACTTTAAAAAACAACATAAATACCATTGAAAAGCCGGGCTTTTAACGGAATCTTTGAGACTTTTAATAAATGTGTGCATTTAATATGGTGTTGTGTTGACTAGTTATATATATAAATTGGTTTTAATTTTTCTAATAGGGATTAGTAGCCTATGTTATTTTAAATGTGTCGGACTTTTAGCTATTTAGTTATTTCTTTGCTTTGTCAATAATATAATATATTACACATGTAATAAAGCACTTTGCGTTTTGACCAATAACTATTTTATAAAATATTCTTCTAAAAAATGTATAACATTAAAAATATATAGACCTATCACGTGTAACGGGTACCGATAGCTAGTGAACTCGAAATGCGAATTTTAAAAATATTTTTTTCTAAACAACTAATGTATACCATATTACAAAGAACTGAATCGACCTTTACCTTGATCCAAAAGACCTTAATCTAAGCTTGATAATCTACATACCCTCGTCATCCGACGTCATGCCATCTATGACAAGACCACGCTGGACTTAATCGAGAATTTGTCCACCCATGCGTACAATCAAATACTTTTTAACCTACATAAGGCACGGGCGAGCTAATCAAGATTAACGCTTAATCCAAATCATCACTGGTAATGAAAGTAGCGATAATCCCTCAAGTGGAAACTTTTTCAAATTTTGTCAGACAGGATTAGGATTAGCTTATAACAATTGTAGGTTTAATAATCCGTCTTACTTTCTATATAAACCAACTGATCGCTGTCAGAGGTACCTTCAGTTTTGTCTTCATCTCCAGGTAAGATTTTTTTTCTCTACATTGCCAGAAAGGGTGCGTTATTCCACAAATGTATATAAAATATTTAAACAAAATAATTAACGTATCAATTCCTTCTTATTCTCTGCTACAATATATAGCGTATATGTTTGAACAAAATAATTGACGTATTAATTCCTTCTTATTCTGAGCTACAATATTTAGCGCACTGATTGCAACATAATACGTGACGTAATATTTCTTTCTTATTCTGATACTACAATAAATATTGAACAAAATAATTAACGTATCATTACTTTCTAATTCTGATATTTCAGTATATAGCGTACTTATTTCAATAAAATAATTAAAGTATCATTACCTTTTTATTCTGATACTCTAATATCTATCGTACTTATATAATCAACGTATTATTGTTTCTTATTCTAGTATTACAATATCTAGTGTATTAATTTCAACAAAATAATTAACGTATTATGTCCTTCTAATTATGTAGGCCTACTCCAACATCTAGCATTAGATCTACAAACCAAGCAAAGAAGATGTCTGCAGTCCAAATTCTACTCGCTGTCATCGCAGTTCTTCTGGCTTCGTCACGTAAGATATTTAGCACACTTATATGTACGTTAAATATCTATTTACTACTTCTCTGAGTTGCAAATCAACAACCTGAGACTAGAGACATCATGTTGATGTCAATACCTGCGAAATTGTGGTGTTAAAAAGAAAAAAATGCGGCTTTTTAAATTTTCGAATAATGTTATTAATTTTAAGCTTTTATAATGTTCTTATTTTACTATCGTAGAAATACGAAGCAGTATAAATAACCATTTTATAATGGCTCTCTGATTAAACTTAATGCTATGTCTAATGTTACAATCAGTACAGGGTAATCATTTTTAATTAGGGAGCGATTTATATAAATTAGAAAACAAACATTATGTGCCGTGTTTAAAATTATAATTAAACAATTTTTGAAATTTCGCCCAGTAGAAAGTAGTTTAAAAGTAAATTGCGTTTTCATCTTAATTTTATATAAGTAACATGAATTAAAATCACCGAAATTGTATCGCATTTATTAATTTGAAAACATAATTATTAAAGGAGTACAACATACGGTCAATTACTGACTTATTGGTGTAAAGTCAAGTCACCTTTGTCTCATGGTGATCTCACAACTCTTTATTTGAAAGATTGTTAAATATCGAATGAGCTATATCAAACCACCTTTTTATTTAAACAATTGTTAAATAATGAATTAACTATATCACTCTCCCCTTTTTTAAAGTCTGTTAAATAACGAATGAGCTATATCAAAATACCTCTTATTTGAAAGATTGTTAAATATCGAATGAGCTATATCTAAACATCAAAATCTCTTATTTGAAAAATTGTTAAATAGCGAATGAGATACATCAAAACACCTCTTTATTTGAATGTTTCTTATATTATCAAAAAAAATCTCAGCTAAGCTTTCTAATAAACTGGTTTTGTTTATTTTATTTTTCTAAACAACTACATAGAAAAATAAAATGTATATCCGTTGTTTATTGAATACAGTTAGTCATAACACATTTTTGCTATTGTAATGTACTTGTTTTTATTTTTCAACAACTTGCATTGGACGGGTTATAGAGGTCAGTGTTATTGAATTTTTTTTTAATAGGCGAATATATATATATATATATATATATATATATATATATATATATATATATATATATATATATATATATATATATATATATATATATATATATATATAAAGAGAGAGAGACAGAGAGACAGAGAGCTAGATAGATAGATATACATATACATATACAATTGCCTTATTCTCCTCTCCTCTGTAAATTAAAGGTACATTAACAACGATCTATGAATAGCAAAACTATAACAAAATCAATGCTGATTTTATCACACAATCTCTCTTTTTTTTTCCACCAGAAATGATAATTTTTAAAACATCACAACTTTTTATCCCAGATTTTAAGATTTTGTTTTTTTTACACAATCTTTGTTTTGAAAATCATCAACGTTTGTTCCCGTTAGACACATGTAACGCAGATGAAGTAGAGTTCATCTGTTTCAACAAACTCGGCAAACTAGTGTTGTTAGCGCTATGATCAGCCGCCTTAGTTTCCTGACCGTTAGCTATGTACCCTTTAGTGCTGGGTGAACGAAACGTCTTCCGGGATCCGAACTCTAGACTTTTATGTTAGCATGCGAAAGCCCTACCACTCAATCATGCATATCCTATATTTACAAAAAAAAATATTTTGAAAAAAATCCCAGATTTTAATATATTTTTTGCCTCTCTCCCCTCCCCTCTGCCACGCAGTCTGATGCACTAGGTATCACAGGCAGTGTAAGCCTAAATACACCAACTCTCCTGAGTTCGAATCCCACCGCGCCGAACATCACCCAAACAGTGCAGGTAATGAATTCTTTTCTATAAAAAAAATTATTTTAAAATCCAGTTAAGTACTGATTTCAACGATAGAGACCCAATTACTTGTATAATATATAAACTTAGCTTAATTAAGTAATTTTTCCTTGCTTAATTAAGTAATCTGTTCCTCCACCCTCACAGCAAGCAGTTAGTGGCCTGACTGGACTTCTGCCAACCACCTCTGTCGTAGGGTCAAGTCCCTCCACACAAAACATCATCCCAACGATTAGTGTAAGTATTTCTTTATGATAAAGTTAAAATAAATAAAACCCAGTGGGATTGGACTCATTTTAATGTTATATTTAGAAATATAAGATATGTATTTAATAAGCCTGAATTACAATATCATCATCATCTTTTCCGGTTCGTGCCCCAAGACACATGGGGCAGATGAAGTAGAGTTCATCTGTTTCAGTGGATCGCGGTATATGAAGGGTAAGCTTGGACAACAATATGCCCTGCTGTCTTAATCTTCTCATAAGAGCTGGGCGTACTCAGGGACATTGTAATGATTTGATCTCAGATTCGAACTCGAGACTTTCGGTTTGCAGTCTTACTGCTATGCCACGCCGCTACATAGAAGAACAAAATACTTTTTTTACAATGTAAACACAAATTTCAAATGGCATGCAATTATATGATTTATAAACATGTCGTAGGTGTATAAAAATATGTGTACGATTAACTTGAACACAGACACGAATACAAACACAATGTGTTCATCAAAATAAACATAAACATAAACATGAACATGAACATGAACATGAACATGAGCATGAACATGAACATGAACATGAACATGAACATGAACATGAACATGAACATGAACATGAACATGAACATGAACATGAACATGAACATGAACATGAACATGAACATGAACATGAACATGAACATGAACATGAACATGAACATGAACATGAACATGAACATGAACATGAACATGAACATGAACATGAACATGAACATGAACATGAACATGAACATGAACATGAACATGAAGAGGTGAGGGATATTTTATCGGAAATATTTGTTTATATATTTTGTTTGATATATTGGGGTCGGCGTGGCCGAGTCGGTAAAGCTCATGGTTGCTAAACCGAATATTCTCGAGTTTGAACCCTCGGGCAGATGAGGCTCGTTAGCTGGGGACAGCCACTCTTCTAGGAGAGACAACTCCAAAATTAAACAACTGCTGCCTTGTAGTTTGTTCTATGGAAGCAAATCCAAAAAAAGAAAAGCAGGCTGAAATCGGAGTCAATGGCCTCAATGGCGCATAACCAGTTGACACGTATCCTTAATTGTGATGGAGGCGTGGTCGAGTCGGCAAAACCTAATGGTAGATAAATTCGAAAAAGTCTCGAGTTCAAACCCTCCGGCAGATATGGCTCGATCCCCTCCAACACTAAAAAATTAAGAACGAAGAAGAAGAAGAAGTTTGTTATATTTTTTCTAGTGACTAAATGTACATAAACGTTAAAATCCCGATATTTATGGTGTGTATTAATAAATTATAGATACGCTTTAGGACATTTTGGTTCATGGTGCATGTGAAGTAGAGTTCACTTGATTCAGCGAATTTGGCATATTAAGGGATAGTGTGGTTAGCACTATGCCCAGCCGCCTTTTAGTTCCTAACGTGAGTCAGGTACCCATCAGAGCTGGGTGAACTCAGAGACATCATACGGACTCGAGGACGTAATGAACTCTAGACTTTCGGATTCGCAGTCAAATGCTGTACTACTAGACCACACCGGCTCACAATAACTTAAAGATGAATGTTTATTATTTACACAAATAACACTCAAGAATATATTTTCTGTAAGTTTTGAAAATATTTAAATTTAATTCAATTTTGTTCTTACTATGGTATTAGGAACTGAAAGCAGCAGTAGTTGTATAAATCATGACATCCAAACAAATTTAAAATTGTTTCATTTACACACTGCTTTATAGGATGCAGTATCTGGTGTGGTTGAAAATGTTCTTCCCCCTTCGAACGTAGGTTCAAATCCATCTTTACCAAACGTCATCCCAGCAATTCAGGTAAGTGATTCCTTTAAAAAAACTAAATATAAAGAAAAAAAAACGTAAATAATAAAATTAATTTTTAGTGGTAAGCCTATACACATGTATTTAAATTAGGCTATATTACATTGAAAAAAAAGTTTCTTTTAAAAATATGTGTGTAAAGTTCAATCGTGTTCTAGATGCATTCAGTTACAAACTTGGAGTTTCATAATGTCATAAGTGTATGTTACTAATATGACAGATTTTGCTTTTGACTGGTAAAATATGCCAGATTTTGTTTTCAACTGGTACAAATATGCCAGATTTTGCTTTCAACTGGTACAAATATGCCAGATTTTCCTTTTAACATAAACAAATATGTCAGATTTTTAAATTGTTTATTGTTTTCTCACCACCAGAACGTCGTATCTAATGTGGCAGAAAATCTACAAACCCCCTCTCTCCTGGATTCGAACCCACCCCTTCCAAGCCTAGTCCCAGCATTACAGGTCAGCTATTCTTTCTGATGAATTTACTATAATGCCGAAATGGTAAAGAAATGGGAGAAGCCTTCGTATAATTTAATATTAACATAAACGTGAAATAGATCTCGAATAGTGACGAGACACATACCTCTCAAAGAAATTTCTGAGATGCATCAGATATATTTTGTCTGACTAACTCTGTCTAGCATAATTTTGTTTTTTCTTGAAATAATCACGAAATGCAGTTAAATACATAAAAACCACTACTTCCAAAATACTTTTAAAATTAATTGAATCAATGATTTAGATGTATATTATAAAAAAAACCAAAAGTAACATATTAAAAAAAAACCAACGTTTTAAACATATTTAAAAAAAAATTTCCACCGCCGTTTTCAGCAAGCAGTATCTGATGTTGTAGACAATATACCTGGTTCCTATGTCGTAAGCTCCATTCCTAGAGTCATCCCATCAATCAAGGTAAGAAAATAAACCTACCTATGTCACCTATTTCTATAAACATTACCACGATCATGAACATGTATGTGAAAGAAATATATGTGTAAGCATGAATATTATTTACACGAACCTCATCGACTTTTCCCGTTCGTGCCTAAGATGAAGTAGAGTTCATCCGTTTCAGTGACCTGAGTTTTTTTCACGAACTCAACAAAATAAAACAAACTTAAAGTACAATCTAAATCTAGTTGTATGTATTTAAAAAACAACACATTTCAAACAATCCCTGCTATATAACACATTTCAAATGACATTTCTCACAGGATGCCTTGACAAATGTCGCTACGGAAGTTCCAGTTCTCTCACTGATTAGCGACACGCTTCCTAAAGAGAAACTCTTCAAGATAGTTAAGGTAAGCGCTTCTTCGGCAACCTTCTCCTAACTCAGTGGTTCTTAACATTTTTAGGGGTACCCAACCCCACAAGCTACATATGTGCATTCACCGAACCCTTCTTAATATGAAAATTAAATATTGAGTTCGGTGTGTCTTGACCTCAGCGAACTTCAGGGACAGACCCACCGAACCACTGGGGTTCGATCGGACGAAGTTTAAGAACCACTGTATTAACTGGAAAAAACAATATAGTCAACACATGACATTTTTTGGCTTACAGAGATCTTATGATTATAATGTCTCCCGCCAAATGAAATTTTTACTAATATCTTTGAGTTCATTTTTTTATATTCATTCAGCATATATAGAAATATTAGAATAAATTATGTGAGTGAGAGAGAGAAAGAGCGAGCGAAAGAGAATTATATATATATATATGTATATATATTTACATATATATATATATATATATATATATATATATATATATATATATATATATATATATATGTACACACATACTATATATATATATATGTTTATAAATAGTATATATATATATATATATATATATATATATATATATATATATATATATATATATATATATATATATATATATATATATATATATATATATATATATATATATATATAATATCTATATATTTAAGCTAATAATATGCCATTTAAAAACCTATGCATAATTTCTAACTCTATATCTTATGTCTATTTCAAAGTATTTATATTCTATCTATATTAAAGCACTATTTCGGTTGTCGTTCTAGCCCGACCAATGTTGCCGTGTGTACCGCAGCCATGGCCTTAACCTTCCTCTCAAGGACAGGAAATGAAAGACAAGAACACAACAGACGGAAACGTGCAATAAAACATGACGGAAACTTGCCTGTCTCAAGGATCATGGCTACAAGAAACTTAACTTTTAATTTTAGTCTATTAAATATTTTTTTTGGCACGCAAGTTTTATTTATATTGCTTACAAGTTAAACAACTCATTCGAAAATTGTATTTTAAAATTTACCATACATAAAAACATATAATTATTTTATTGAGTTGATCGTTTCTCCATTTGAAGACTATTTAATTATTTATATTTAGCTTATTTTGGAAAAGTTCATGTTGCTTTTTTCTTGCGTGTCAGTTACAATTTTATTTAGTTTATTAGGGAAAATAAACGTAAAGAAATCTATAAAAATGATTTGTTTTATATTGCTTCTTACAGTTAAAATTATGAATACTTTAAATGATTTAAAAACAAAAGAATGGGACAGCGTGACCTAGCGGTAGAGAACGAAACTGCTTACTCCAGAGTCTCGAGTTCGAAACCGGATTCAGATCAGTGGAACTTCCCTGATCACCCAGCGACCCATCGGGAAGATAAAGTAGAGTTCAGATGTTTGTATAAAAGAATAGTGTTAGAAGTATTATACCTAGTCGCCTTTACTCGGGTAATTCATATACTCACAAGTCCTAATCGAGGTCCGAACTCTAGATCTTCGACCTACCAGTCAAACACTCTACCATTCGACCTCGCTGTTCAGAAACCCAATTCACAGAAACTAACCCTAATCCAATGCTAATGTTTTGAATAACAAGCCAACATTATATTTATGAAGTATCGTTGTGTGGTTTTACAACGAAGCTGTACATTATTAAAAAAGAACACCAGAAAACTTACAATAATTTTACATATTATATTTACTTCCGTTTCTGAGATAGCTTGTATTTGCTGGTCAACATAAAATTCACGACTGATGCTGCGTTGCATCTAACATATGACACAAGAACATACATATATTAAGAAACTAGACTTAAAATATAACAAACTTTAAAAAAAAATCATAATATTAATCAAGTTTTAAATTGCGTGAGCAATCCAAAAAAAAAAAACTTAGTAAAAGCTTTAGTCGTTTAAACCTGTAAGAAATTGTATAATTTTTTTTTCTAAAGTAAAATATTTTCTAAAGTAAATAAGTTAGTTGCTTTTGAAACATTGTCAATATTTAAAAGATTTTTTATTGGTTTTTAAATTTGTTTTAATTTCAGCTTTTTAATAATTCTAAAAACAGGAAAAATTTAAATATTACAAAAAAGAGTACTTACGATATTTTATTTGATTCATATTAGATATTTGTGCGTTGTCGTCGGATAAGAATGTATCTGGAAAATTAACAAAATGGCTGCATTAAATGAGAGTTGGGAATAAATGACAGGATTCGCCACAAACTGAAAGACAGAAGGACAGACAGACAATGTTAAGCTAATAAAAGCTTATACAAACAAACTCATTCCACAGACATCTATTTTATTTACATAAATAAAATAGAAAAAAATAATTAAAATATTTCGTAGCAATTTGACACGGAAGTTGTTTAATGAGAAAAAAGAAATCTTTATCCTATTCACAAATAGGGTAAAGAATTGAGATATAAAGGTTTTCGAAGAAATCCTTATTTTATTTGGATCTGATACATTTTCTGGTCAAAGTAACTCTGAATATTTTTTATCAAATCTTAAAGCAGTTCATTCCTTTATAACTTAAAAATAAAATTTATTCATAAGATTTATTTCCAGTTTTGCAACATTCGTGCGAAATATCAATACAATTTTACGATTAGATATATAAAATTACTACTAGTAAAAACGTCACAAAAACGAAAGCAGGGACATTAAAACTAGATAGGGAAGTATAAGCTGACACGCTAACTAAAGTACATGTCCTGCGATTTACTGTCACATACATTAGGGTACAAATCCCAAAGTTTCATAACTTAAATAAGAGAAGAACTCTAATCAAAAGTCTCAAGTTGCAATGCCTGACTCGAGTCCGTAGGGCGTCCCAGAGTCCACTCAGCTCTGATGGGTACCTGACTGACGTTGAGGAAAGTAAAGAAGCTGGGCTGAGAACTGACTACTCTAGCACTCTTAATGTTGAAGTAAATGAAATAGGTGAACTCTACTTCACCTGTTCTAATTACCATCATAGGTTAATAGGTATACGAGTAGAAAAAACTAATAGTTAAAGGTATCGGTTTCGGATGGAGATTAAAGCTACTAAACTATTTTTTATTTGTTTTTCTGACGCTTTTGGGATTAGCTCCAAGTTGAGCTGTCTTTCATTTTCTCAAAATTTTTAGTTAATCTGAGATGGGTGCTTGGAGATATAAGCGTTTTTAGCCTGATAACCAAATGCTTTTTTTCTGGTTAACAACAGCATGGGATCGTACCCTTCCAACACCAATAGTGGATCGTAGTCTTCCACCACCAATAGTGGATCGTACCCTTCCACCACCAATAGTGGATCGTACCCTTCCACCACCAATGGTGGATATTACCCTTACATCACCAATAGTGGACTGTACCCTCCACCAACAATAGTGAACTCTTCTGATATTTTTTTTTGTCTCTTTTGATCACGCGAATAAACCTTAATAATAACCAAACAACAAAATCAAAACAAACCCAAGTGCTCTAACAAAAGATTCAAGCTATACAAATCTAACTAAGGCGTATGCAAGACAAACTGATTCCATCCATTATGATAAATATTAATACTGCGTCCTTTAAAAAAACTCATTGAAGCAGCATTACTTCATTATTGATACAATACATAACATAGGTTTAAACCTACCAATTCAATACGACAACGTAAAAAACCTCAAGCGTCACCAATTCCCAAAAATAGATCAAAGAGAAGATTCCCATCTAAACCAACAACCAGATTTAAAACTATCACAAGATTTATGTTACCGATAAGTTGATCTGATCCGCAGATTAAGCCATCAATCGAAGTTCTTATG